AACAAATGACCCGAGCACCTGTAAATAAACAGATTAATCAGCACCCCTGACGCGGCTCACAGGGACATGTGCTTTACGAATGGAGGTGTAAGGTGCGAACGCAACCATCTCTTGCACAAACCTACACTTGTGCTAAGTCCTTTATGGGGTTTCCAGGCTCCAGTAATAAACCCTCTGGGACATTCAAATAAAAGGTCGGTACTAACGACAGGTTCTTTACTGTCTTCTCTGCACAGCCTCTGTGGTGGAAAAGACTCCCTCTTCTAGGTGACATGATGGGATTCCTGGTCTTGAACAGCTGCACTCCTGTCCACCTGTTGTACCTTACCAGCTTGAGCATCTGCTCTTTTAAAACTTCTCCTTCTTAAATACTCTCCTTGGTTAGAAGCAAACATTTCCTTTTCATCTTTAAACTACAGGTTCTGGATCTCACTCTTAGTCCTCTCTCAGAGAGCAAAAAAGCCATAAAACTACTCTCATGGGGTAGAAAAACCTTTAGAAAAGGTACCACAAGGATTCAAAACCTAAAGAAAAACAATGCAATGTTTTTATTCCTCTCGTCCCAAACATCTGCTTCAGCCAGCCTCAGGACTGTCCACATGAAAGACCTGCAGGGAAACACCTGGCTTACTAGATGGAGCCAATCGCTTTCTGAGTTACATAAACAGCGGCTTAAAACGTCTTGTCACAGGGTGGAAAGTTGCTGAGAACGGGGATGCAGAGAGGAGATCCAGAGGGAAGCCCGTCAAGTAATTCTGAGTGGAGATACTTCAAATACTTCCGAGCAGAGTTGATGGAAGATCACTGACAGTGTCCCTTTACCTTACATTTGGCATTTTAAGAAAGATATCCTAGTAAGATTAGTATTCTAACTAAAACAACAGCAAAATGCTTTTAAAACCACACCTAAAAGCTCAAAGGAAAACTGCAGCAGACTTGAGTAACAGCTCAGTAAAATTGCATAGCATATGGTACACAGTACTCCATTTTCAAGCAATAAATAATCTCTTCTTGCCTAATTAAATATAAAACATAGCTTCAACACTGAAGTACAGGTAATCCATGAACTGATCCGTGTGCTGTTTACTGCCTGTTTGTTGCCCACCTCAGTCTCTTGTCCATCTCGTTTTCATGCACACCGCCAGGTAAGGGTTTAACAGCACTGCAGCCTCTCCCCTCAGGAGAGGGAGTAAACCAGCTTGCACCTTCCACTGTCCCCCCTGCCCGGCAGAGCCTGGGAAGCCCCCCACCAACGTGAGGAGAGGCGTCTGAAGGCACGGGAAAGCTACCGATGAGCCAGACACTGAAAACCGAGGTGCCCCATGCAAGGCAGTCATTCTTTCACAACCTTCGCCATGATGGATGTATTTATAGTGTTAACAACTGGAATGAACCATTGGCAACCCCTAGCTTTACCTGCTGCAGTCTCTTCTTTTCTGTAGCCAGGAATTTCCCCCTACCTCAGCTGCTACTATGCAAATGTCCAACACTTGTCTTGTGACCCCCACCTTTTAAACAACCAGCCTTCTGCTGTCGAAGGAGATCCCCTATGGCTAATGGAGTGCACCAGCAACACATAAACACCAGCTGGACTCCCCCAACTTCCTTCCCTAGCAAGCCAATCCCTCCAATTCCCTGCCTTTGTTTTTACAAGTTTGCCCTGACCTAAATAATTCGCTTCAGCTTGTGCTTGCCCTTTTTTCCTCCTTCCCCCCCATGTTTTATTTTCTGCCTTCCTCCGTGGCCCCTGTATAGCAGCTACAGCCGCCACCAAGAGCCCACAGGGTTCCTGTCAGGCTGGGCTGGTCTACCAACCGCTGCACTAAAACCTTCCGGGTCTGAGGCTTCCTTGGGAGAACAATGTTAGAAATGAGACACCCCTAGGATGATGAGGTGGGCTGGTTGGGAGAAAGAGCTTTTCTCCTTTCTCCTGCCAAAATGTTTTGCCTTTCCATGAGGAGGCAGGAATTTTAAAGAAAAAAATCTGCTTTCAGATATTTTGACAAAAAGTTGAAATTCTACGTAGCGAGGAGATGGTTTGCATGGAAATAAAATGACAAACCAGTCTTCCTCAAAAGGCAGCATTTACAGCCAGCTCTGTCCCCAAATCTGAGCTGGAAAGTTAGCAGTTGGCTAGGGCAACTGCAAGGTTAGGGAAGGTGCAGAATACACTAACGCCCGGTGGAGAGCTCATCAGGGCTGGGTACGCACTCGGTTTCAGATGGACATTTTTAGACTGATTCAAGCATTATTGCTACCTTTCACGTGGTCTAGAGAGGGAGCCTGCTGACCTCCTCAGAAACCATGAACGCAGATGACTAAGGTGCTAACGCAGGAAAAAGGAATGCTCCTCTTCCTAATATCCCACAGCGAGCAGTACTTTATTCCACAAATGATACTCCTGATCCTGCCACTGGCACTCACCGTAAGAGCGGATCTGAGTGGACCAACTCACAGAGTACGGTGAGCAAAGTGCAAGGATGCTTTGTGTCGTATTGTTTTGTAACTGGTATTCGGTACCAAAGCATTTGTAAAAGCCAGGCTTACCAAATCTTAGCCCAAAATGTAAAAAACCCCTATGTTTGCTGCTTATAAAACCTGGAAAAGATAAAAAATTCTAGATGGATTACAATATATGCCTGGGCAGACTGAAGTATTGCATAGTTGTTCTGACTGTGAGTGCAGTAGAGCAGAACAGAAATGGTTATGTTTACTCCTCAGCGAAGAGGTCAACAAAAATACTCATTTTTCTTTAAATTTCCTTTTGAAGGATATTTTTGGAAGAAAAGTAATTCAATTTTCAGTAGAGAATTTCAGTTTGCATTTAGACACCCCCACACTTATTTTTCTCCCCACTGAAAAAAATTTGGTTATTATTGACCTGTTAAATCAAACAACATGGCTTTGCAGCAATCTGTACACAGTACAGAACCATTAGTGTTCCTAAAAAGGCTTGTTTTTTAGTGTATACATGTTCTCTAAGTGCATTATAACTATTGCATAGTTTCAAAGTCTTCAAACACAGTGGTAATCATAATGTTTACATGTACATAAATAATAGCATTTCTTAAAAATGTAATTAAAAATAACACAGTATATTCAAGGCTATGGGAAATCGCTTCCATCATAGATGATGGGTCGCTCGACAGCCAAGTGATAAAACACCCTTTTTGAGATAAACCTGTCGAGGAAAAAAAGAGAGCAAGATGATCACATTAGCTGAATACAACGACACAGGAAGCCTTAAAAATGTATTCAGTCTTTCAGTTAATATTCAGGCAAAACACTGTTGTTGAAGAGAAGAATGCCTGCACAAGGGCTGTCAGGTCAGTTGTTTTTAAGATGGCAATCCTGACTGAACTGTCTCGGAAAGAGTCACAAATGACTTGCTTACTTCTGTTTACTTCAACTGGGTTGAAGATCTTTATGCAAGCCAGGACCAATATTGATACTTACTTCTGAAGGGCAGAGTAAGGCTCCATCCAATCAGTTCCGCAGCCTGCAAAACCAAGCTTATTTCACCTTTTACACCCAGCTAGGACCTACCTAGAGAACGTGTTGTCAAATATCAGTGTGTAGATTCCAGAGTTTCTGACTTTCACCTGTCCTCTGATAGTTTCCTTATGAGAGTTGCAGCGGGTCATAGGAATAAGAACCTGGAATTCAACACGAAACAAAATGGAACTTGATATTTGCTCTATAAATTGACATTTGCCTTCAGAAAAGTACTTAGACTTGAGCCGTCTTGAAACTCCCAAAGAGCGTATGTACCTGCAAAACTATTTATTTTCACTCCTTAGCATTAAAAATACACCCAACCTAAAATCTCAGAGTGAGACGTGTTTTCCTCTGCCAACCTCTTCACAGCATTGAGCTATGGCTATAAATCTCTGCTTTAGGGACAGAATCAAATCCTGACCTTTTTAATGTCAATCTAAGCAAGTTTACTAACATCAGCAGTGCTACATTAAATCTATACAAATATATCTAGGAGCAGGATTTAGCTAAATGTCTTTCAATATATGCTTTTATACTCACTGTATTATAAAATCAGCTTTCTCAGCAAACCTTCTTTGTCTGTCTAAGCTTAGAGCAAAGTGTGTGTAACCATCTACCTTGCCGTAAAGCCCTAGCAGAGAACAGCAGCTGATGTAAATCAAGGATGACCCTATGAAACTCAAAGTTCTATCAAATAGGTATGTCAAGCCAGAAGCAACAATCACTCTCCATTTGGCTTTCAAATGAAGAAAAAAAGAGATTTTACATGGAATTAGTAACCGTGGAGTGAATTGACGCACGCTATAGAAATATCTTATTCCACCAGTGAAATCACAGTTCCCTCTACCACGGCAGGTTAAATCAACAGCTGCCTTTTCTCTATTAAAACTTTGCAATTAGCTGAGGAACATAGATTGACTTAATCCATAATCTTCAGGAAATATGGACAGCACACACAAAAACTGGTACCCTGAGCACTGGCAAAGCGATTTTGCACATCACTGAGGCACTTAAATATAGGCTTCACTGTAAGAAATGCAGGGAACCCAATCAATTTATCAGTCTCCTTGTGGCCTCTGCTTAAGAGACTGGTGAGATGAGCACTAAGCAGCTTACAAATTAAGTAATATTGAGGAGGTGAAAAAGAAGTATTTTACAGGCTTGGACATTTATATTTGCTTAACAATAGTGGGTGAATTTCAGACGCGACCAATAGAAGTTCTAATGCTTTTCAACTGAAATAATGCAGGCACCAATAAATAGCTAAAGATGTAGCTCTGCCTTCAGCAAAACTGTATCTTAATTGGAGAAACAAGTCCTTACTGCAATAGCAACCGGCGCTCTTGTGGAGACCTCCCAACTATACTTGCTGGTTCCACAACCTCTAAGGCAGTAAGGAGACAATGGCCTTACTTTGCACTGCTCCAGCGGCGTGTCTTCTGATTCCTGGTAGACAACGCTGAAGGATATGCTTTTAGGGTCTGAAGAAAAGATCCAGCTAATTGTTAGCCCCATCTCTGTAACGGTGATGGGAATGATACTGTAGGTGCTGGATTTAATGAACAGCTCTCTGTTGCTTTCCCCAAAATTTAAGATCTCTTCCACTGTAAGGGGCAATTTGATCCTGTGAGGGAGAAAAATACAATTACTTGAAGAGATCCAGTCTCAATACTCAGACAGAAACAATAATCATTGCTTTTTATTTTCCATCTATTTGAGGCAGACTCCAGAGCAACTTTGGGACAGGTCCACAAGATGCAGGAAAATTCAGTCTTGGATGAAGGCAAGAGCTGCAGAAAAGATGACTGATATCAAGAACTTTCACTGCTGTGGCAAATATGTATATTATTCACTTATTTATTTCATTTCAACTAGAAAAATCTAGTGCTTGAATAAAGCTTTTTAGTTACTACAATTAAAAAGTCTGCTGCCCTCTGCTGTTCTTTTTAAAGAAAAATTTAAACAAAAATTAGTCACCTAATTTATTCACCTTTCTAGATATCATTTGTACAGGAAATGGGGATCAAGAGTACAGAGGGATGGAATGTGGACAGCAGCTCTGTCTAGATCCTTCGACACGCCTAATTCTACAACTTGGTCTGTTTTACCCAAGCAAGCTGCATAAAAGCTGACTGGAACTACTTCTAATGGAAAAGGAAGTTCTGAGCACCTAGGTGATCCTGAAGCACTGCATCAGCTTACCTCATTCTGCTCTCTGTTTCAGGCTGCACACAGTGAGGCCCTTCAACAGGAGAATGCTGCTTGCTTTCTTCAGGGGAAACCTGTAATTTCTATGAGCTGTGGATCTCACCTACATTCCCCTAAGAAAAACTAAACTAATGTATCACCCTTTAGGCCAAAAGAATTGTTTCCAAATCAATCATTTTACAATGAGTAAATGACAGTACTGTGATATCAGCAGCTCTCAAAACTCAGCACATTTACCAGAAGACATCACGCAGTCCCTGTGACAGTTTGCTGTTCTAGAGCGAGGAGGGGTTCAGTTTCCAACCGTGACTATACAGCGGTTAGGGATCACAGCTGATTTGTGACAGTAACTACTGTACTCTGGACAGAGGGGAAGCTTTGTATTAAGTTTTGCTTCTCTTGTTACTTCTTCCTCTTAGCTGAAGTAATTGCTGGGGTGTCTCAGGGGAGCTTTGATTTTACTGAACTAACGATTGCTCTTTTCCCTTCAGCCCAGCTATCATTTTAGTTACTGCTTTATTTACCTGGTTCTCTGAACAGCAGCCACAGGGTTGAAACATGGACTGGTTTATCTCCCTGCAGTCAAAAGTGTAAAAACGTTCCCACAACTAAGCCAAAATCGCAAAGCGAGGCTTAAGGGGAGAGTGAGCAAAGGGGAAATTCTCCAAGTCAGGGGCATTTTCATATGTTAGATTCCCTTCCTGGCTGTGTAAGTGACATGTATCTCTACTGCACATAACTATTCATTTCAGAGCTGGATACATGCAGGAAATTGTGCTCACATAGTTCAGAGGTTGAGCAGAGGCTCTTCCTCAGACCAAATTCTGCTGTGGGACATTTATCCCAGGAGTCTGCAAAACATGCTCACGTAGCTGATACCTGAGCTCAGCTTTTATTCTTTCGGCCTGGTAGTAATGAAACTGTTCTGCTTACATGATTTCTCCCGTCTTCAACAGGCATATCTCAGCATCTTGAGCAACTGGCCACTATTGAAGAATTACACATGCTGTTCCTGGGACAAGGAAAAAAAGGAAAGGCATGATTCTCTGAGCAGTGTGTGGTCAAATACCATCTGTATGCAGATGCCTTCATAAGCCAGAAATGTTTTGATAGCCGTGATGCCAAATTCTACAATTTTTGCACATTGTAGTGACAAAACTATCTGGGCAAAACTGCAGCCCCATTTTGCTAACCACTGTGCAGAAATGTAAAACTGCTCTTGCCCTGGTTTCATGAGCTAAGGGGAATACATACGTCCAGAACATCTCTTTGACAGTCTTAAGATAAATTCCCTACAGAGACACTGCCAAGTTTTAATTTTTTAATTTCCACCATCAGGATTTCCACCTGGTAGTGGTAGAAATCCTGATGGAGGACACACACAAGCAAAACAGTCTGGACTTGTCCCTTAAACAAAGCTTGCATGAGGATATAACATTTGCCTTGGATTTAATCCGTGAGGTGGTTTACAAACATATTATCCAGTTCCTTACTCTGACAATGGTACACAGAACATATTTTATCACTAACAGAATCACTACGATGCATCTTCACACAAGAAATACTGGATAATTCAAACACAAAGGCACCGCAGAAACTGTTACAGGATGACAAAGCAGGTTGATAACGGAGACAATTAGGTTGTCATTCCCAGAAAAATGCCAAAGATTCTTATACGCAGGGAACCAACTGGTTGGTTCTCTCCAAAAACCAGTGGAATCTATTGAAGTGTAGTATCATTTACATGTGCTTCTGAAGCACCAAGTGTAATCATGTAGCAAGGGCATAACTGCCACACATTCTGCAGACCAGTCTGCAAAACCAGTGCACAGTTTAGCATTTTCTTTTATATCCTACAGAACCTTGCTCTACAAGCAGCGCTGCCAAGCAGAAGAGCAGGAGAAAACATCTCCAGGTAACAGCACCTCCATCTGGTCATTAGCAGCATCTGAATATACTGTGTCAGCACATGCAACCACGTGTGAGCTTAGTGGGGTGACACCATTGGTTGGAAACAGGAAGAGTTTACTGTTACGACTGCAAATTAAACTACACCCACTGTCTATAAGTTTGCTGAACCAATAAAGCACTGTTATCTGCAGAATTCATGTTCTCTTATTCCTGTAGCCTCTTGGGTAATTGTTGACTGTTTCAGAGTCATACCAGTACTGTCAATACCTTAAGGAGACAGCTGTCACCTTCAGGGAAGACTCCAACCTGTGACTAAGTGCCAAAATCTGAGCTATAACCAAACACTACCTGCCGACTGAAATGTAGGAATGACATGCTGGTCCATAAAGGTTAATACAATATCTATGCAAATAGTTAGCACATGACACAAATGATTTCATTGTTAACAATCTTTATGCAACTGGATTAAAAAAAAGATTAGGAAAAAACCCTGGAAAACTACAGCTTGTAAACCTATACAGGCATTTTGCTTTTACAGTAGGAACAGCCACAGAGTTCATGCTGTGATCCACAGAACTCTCCCTTCCCACCAGGACAGGTATACAGCTTTAACTTCACAGCCTTGAATTCATACAGACCAAGAGAACTGCAGGCCTACAGGCTTCCCAGAAGTGGGAAACTCCATGATTTGTTATGCAATGCCACTAGAGTTCCTTACATAATCCATTAATTCCACTTTTCTTTTGGGATCCTGAAATGTAACCTAAACCCCAGGACCAATCCCTTTTCCATGTTCTCCCCTAACATGTTTCCATGTTCTCCTCTTCCTGACACTGTATCCTACCACACGAGTAGGTGGTTAGCTTGCCACTTGGCTGCTCTAAACAATAAATTCCACAACTATTTGCTATAGGCTCAGGGAATGCCAAGTCTCTACTTTGCCTCTTAAACCCAAGAGCATTACAATCACAAAGCAAATCCTCCTTCGCTTTCTGATATCCCATTGACTCCAGTGGTCCAAACTGAGGTCTGGTAGCCTATGTGGAAAATACAACAAATACAGCTTCACAATTTAACTGGAGCTCTTGTCCCTGAAGCACTGAACAGGTTGCCCAG